AAAATTAATAAAAAATAAAGAAAACAAGGAAGCAGGCTAAATTCCCAACTTAGCAAGCTAAGTTCCTTACTGACCCAGCTAAGTCCCCAACTGAGCCAGCTAAGTCCCCAACTGAGCAAGCTAAGTTCCAAAATAGGTATGACTTAGCAATTTGAGCTAAACCAACCTTAGTATGTCACCATCCCATACCGGTGCATACCATCCATCCATCCAGTAGTTGACATTACAGATAATGACTGTAAATATCAAACTAATCCATAACTACAACAATTGATAATATAGCAATGTACATATAAATATCAATTGTTCCAAAAATACATAGTCAATGCGTATAGCAAACTGAACCAAAAGAAGCATACATAGAAATTTAAACTAACATGCTTACTCCAGTAACTGATAAATCTAAACAATGAGATACATCAATCAATTTCATGACAAGCATAATAAAAATAGACAATCTATCATGCTCATACTATACCAACCCATTAATTGATGCTGTAAATGATAAAAAGTTACACATCAATTAATCCTCACTAAACATGACAAAAATATAGAATTTGACATGCATATTTTACATCATTGATACATAATTAGAGATGTATAATCCTTGATAGAAAATTGCTAAATTAAGTCCCAGCAATTTAAACATCCATAGCCAAATTCAGTATAGGCAAGTTGTTAAGAAATTCCTGTTATTCAAATTTCTAACAATCTAGAACTGGGTACACCTTCTGTGTTTTAAACCACACTTCTAAAGCATCCAAAACCTATCATCACAGTCTCTAACTTAAGTCTGAAAACCCAAAAATCCATTCACAGTAGCCTAACCTCGCTGGAAATAGCAGAAAAATAAAAAAAAATAAAGAAAACAAGGAAGCAGGCTAAATTCCCAACTTAGCAAGCTAAGTTCCCAACTGAGCAAGCTAAGTCCCCAACTGAGCAAGCTAAGCTCCCAACTGAGCAAGCTAAGTTCCTAACTTAGTCGGCTCAGTTGGTGATGTCGTCTTCTTCACTTTCCTTGAGTCCGGCGTTTTCCCGATGAACTGTCCTCCTTACCTAAGGTTCCTAAGGTCTGAACTAGACTCCAAAGTGTTCCAGAAATACTTAAACCATTTTTTTAATAATCGACAACAATTGCAACCCGAACTATGCAATAAGGATTTAAAACAAGCAATTTACAGTTCATCAACGTTTACTGTTTAAACAAATCAACCAAGAAATCCAAACTTATTTTAATGTTTACCCAATGTGTTCCAGACTTAATTTAGTTCCTTATTCAATAATTCGTCGTCAATTTAAATCATGAATTAAGCAAGAAACATTCAAAACAACCAATTTTACGCTACATGAAACACATATTGATTTAATTACCTCAGATATGCAAACCAGATTAATGTTTATATTTCTTTACTCCTGAAGTTATGTTAAGAATGTAAAGAACACAAGCAAAGGGAAAGAGTTAAGATTAGAACTTGCCTATAAGACTTTGGTTCAAAATCTTAGCACTGTCTTCCTAAGGTTTCAGGCAATCCTCACTGTAATTCTCCTCTGTTCCTTCTCTGCCTCCACAGTCGTGAGTAGGGTTCTAAAAACCCTTGGCAGAATCTTACACGTATATTTATAGGCCAAACTAATCCTAGGTTCAATTAAACCCTAAACTGACTTACTCGGCCCATAGATCAACCCATGTTAGATATACGTCGACTACATACGTGAATTCTAAAAATACAAAAACCTAATTTAAAAAATAACACCTTTAACCATTAAAATAAAATAAAATCTAATTTAATAAACAACTAAAATAAATAAAATCTAATAAAATAAACATGATATTCAAATAATTAATCAAAAAACATAAAAACTAAACCATTTAATTAAATACACAATTGAATAAAATAATTAAATAAAACAACCACATAACACAAGTAATTTAAATAATGCACAATTAATAAATTAAAATGCAATTCAACAATTAAATAAATTTCAGAACTATCCTTTTAAAATTAGGGGTATTACAGTAGGTGTATCCCTGAGGTAGACCAAGAATCTGTCATTTCCTTCTGCCATGATCTGGCCTGTGGTGGCCACTTTAGCTCTAAAAGAACCGCTGCAAAAATCTTGCAGTTAGGTTTTTATTGGCCCACCCTTTTCAAGGATACCTACACCTACTGTTTGGCTTGTTATAGATGCCAATTGTTAGGTAAGATTACCAAGCGTAATGAATGGCCTCAACAACCCATTCTAGTTGTTGAAATTTTTGATGTTTGGGGTATTGATTTCATAGGACCATTTCCTTCCTCATATGGGTGTCTTTATATCCTTCTGGCTGTTGATTATGTTTCCAAATGAGTAGAAGCCTTAACCACCAAGACAACCGACCATCAAGTTGTGGTGCGTTTCTTCAAAGACTTAATTTTATCTAGGTTTGGTACTCCTCGAGCCATTATAAGTGATAATGGTTCACATTTTTGCAACAAAATCTTTGGAAGTTTATTGTCCAAATATGGTATCACTCGTAAAGTGGCCCTATCATATCACCTACAAACCAATGGTTAGGCTGAGGTATCCAATAGGGAAATCAAGCAAATACTGGAAAAAATAGCTAATCCTACACGGAAAGACTGGACCCTCCGGCTTCAGGATGCTTTTTAGAGGAGAGAAGAATTGTAACACACACACACACACACACACACACACACACATATATATATATATATATATATATATATATATATATATATATATATATATTCAAGAAGTATAGTGCACTTATGATGTTGGTTGAAAATAAAAGAAGGTTTTACAAAGAAGAAGATAGCACGAAAGAGTTTTTTTTTTTTCTTTTCCTAAGATCATATGACTCGTAGGTATATATAAGCGGCAGACAATCCTTCACAATAGACTTTTCTTTTCAAATATAAAAGTAGAAAGACATCTTAACTGTTGATGCCTTTTAAAAATTACGTTGCAAGAAGTTACTATTTTCTTTAATGGTATGGTATATATTTAAAGTTGATTTTTTAATAAAGAAATCCAGAATTTAGAGTGTAAGATTGACTTAAATTAAAATTTAAGAATTGTTTAAAATAAGAACTCTTTGGAAAAAAAGAAGAAAGAAAGAAAGAAAGAAAAAAAACAATATGTAAAAAGGAAATGTCGCGTATAATATTTTTGTAAATTAAAGAAATTATTTTAAAATTATAGGGTATATAGATATAGATATATGATTGCAATGTTCTCTTAGGATTAGCATGATTCGCTGTATCGGACGTATCGGTCGATACGCGACCCCTTTTTATGTCCGATACGCAATCCGAATCGGCCAATATATGCTGATTTTGTCTGAATCCGTTACACCGCGACTGATACCAATCCTGCAAACCATGGATACTAGGAAGAAGACTATAGGTGTTGAATATATCTCACTTCACATGGCCCACATTTCTTGGTCAAACGGTCAATGGATTATGCCATGTCATCAACGATGGCCCACAAATTTTGGTCAAATGGTCAACAAGCGACACCACATCAGAAACGATGGCCCACAAGTCAAACGGTCAAATGGTTTAAGTTACATGACACTTATCACGTCAGTATACCTCGAACAGAAGATCGAAGACTTGAAGTCCTGAGTTGGGAGTAGGGCTCAGGATTACTTGGGATCCGAGGAGGTTCTTGGTTTGGTGGATAAAGTTCATGACTCGTCGAGTTGACTCTCAACCTGACTCGTAGAGAGAGAGATACCATTTTGATTCCCATACATTTTAGAACCATCTTAATTAACATTATTTTATAATGTTAATGGGCCCCACATGTGATGTCATATGACATCACCCAACTTCTCACTTGACCTATATAAGGAGGTGATCCAAGGCCAAGTAAAAGGTAGAGCAAAAAAGGAAGGAGGAAATAACCTCTCATGTTTTCTCCATACATCTTCACGAAGGGAGTCAATGGTGTACTAATACACTGCCATTATTACCCTTTCTCTCGAGTTTGCCTGTGCTTCCACCTCTCTCAGTCCACCTTGAATTCTATTATGTTGTCTGGATCACTTAGATTTGTGTATGATATTACCATTTATATGTATTTTATTGTGCTACGAAAACGAACCCCACAAAGACATTGCTTATATATTCAGAGGATGTAAGCGTGCACAATTTTTTTCTCTCCCTTCAATAGAAAAACAAAAACTAACAGCCAAGAGGTGTAGAAGTACCTAAAATGCATGCAAACAACTCTCAACATGAATAAACAGTAGTCAAACAAGCCACATACGAACAACAGGCATCTCCTATAGGTCATATATAGGATAGTATTAATAAGAAGAAAACAGAACATCAGATTATGTATATCTGATTCAAAGACAGGAAAGCTATGTTTTTGTAGTTGTGGAGCCAAGTTTTTGTTTGTGGGGCAGATGACAATTTTTGAATTTTTCAAGACGAAATATGTAATAACCTTTATCATTGTTTTTTTATTTAAATGATTAATATACAATCGACCAACAAATGAAATAATTTGAATTCCATGGACTCATCTGTTGGTGTGGTTTCCAGATAAGTAAACTAGTTTCACAGGTGTTAATACAATCAATCAATGTATCTATGTTCATATTGATTTGGCTGACCAAGTCATCTCAATATTAAATGTTTACAATGACCAGTTCTGAAGAATTTACTTGAGAAATTAAACAAACATTGCTTGTTTTATCCATAAATCCAATTTGAACTAGCGGTCTCCTTCAAACATATCTTTAGCCGGCGGCACCTATGGATTCTTTCTACTATTACCATTTCCACACGCGGATTGATGGACGGCAAAGGCTAGCTGGCGGACTCTATCTTCCCTCCAAATATCTATAAAATTAAGCATTGCAAAGTGGTGTACTTGTATCACAACTCAAATATAACTTGTGCTCTTAACTGATTCAATACTTCTCATATCATCAACAGATTCATCACTAAATTGTTTTATATATACTCAGAAGGCATATATTTCCAATGGCCTCTAATTTTCTTTTCTTAGGAATCTTGGCTATAACTTTGTCTGTTGCTTTGGCATCTGATCATAGTCCCCTTCAGGATTTCTGTGTCGCGGATCCAAATAGCCCACGTAAGAACTCTTCTGTCACACTACTTATGTTTTGCAAAACTTGATTCAGTTTTCTGAAAATTGTTTTCCATTTTTTGAATTATCGAAAACTGTTTTTTTGGTAACAAACCAAGCGGACCCTTATTTGTACTACAATTTGGAGTTTCATATTCCTTACATTTTCTGTTGACAATGCTATGCAGTGCTAGTGAATGGTATGGTTTGCAAGGACCCCAAGCTTGTACAAGCCAACGATTTCTCCTCCAGCGGGCTTCACATGGCAGGCAACACGTCGAATGCAGTTGGATCAAAGGTGACTCCAGTAAATGTAGCTCAGATAGCAGGACTCAATACTCTTGGCATCTCTCTTGTCCGTATTGACTTTGCACCATGGGGCATCAACCCTCCCCACACACATCCTCGTGCCAGTGAAATTTTGACAGTTCTTGAAGGCAGCCTTCATGTGGGGTTTGTCACCTCCAACCCCGAAAACCGTCTCATCAGTAAGGTACTCAACAAGGGTGATGTGTTTGTGTTCCCTCAGGGTCTTGTCCACTTCCAGAAGAATGTTGGATATGGTAATGCAGTTGCCATTGCAGCTCTCAGCAGCCAAAATCCTGGAGTTATTACGATCGCCAATGCTGTCTTTGGATCGAAGCCCGACATTTCAAGTGATATTCTAGCAAAGGCTTTCCAACTAGACAAGAACATAGTGTATCAGATGCAGTCGCGGTTCTAGCTGTTACTGTTAGGCAATTTATAACTCCATTGGGTGTCTGAAGTGTTTACTCCATGTTTGTGTTTAGCTTGGAAATGATTAAATTTACTGGATTTGTTAGGTTGAATTCATTTGCTTGTTCCAAACACAAATATAAGTTCATGTGTGCGAATTTGAAAATTGTCCACGTTGTGCTTGTGAATGTGGTGGCTTCGATATTAATTACAAATTTTGAGTTCCTCTAAAAACGGTCAAGTGCACAAAACAAATATGCTTACAGTGCTTATCATCACACCCCTCATGTGCAAAAAACCTCTTAAAGGTTCAATTTGGTGCAAAAAGGCCTTTCTGATAAATTTAAACCTTAAGTTGACTAAATTACCTTTATTGAACCATTTTATAAAATAAATAAAAATAAATAAACTTGTAAAATGATCGAAAAAGATACTACTAGAGGATGCCCCACATATGCAAAAAGTACCCTTAAAGTTTTAATTTGGTGCAAATAGGACCCTCTCTAACAAATTTAAACCCTAAATTAACTAAATTACCCTTACTGAACCATTTTATAAAATATATATAAATAAATAATTTTGTAAAATGATCGAAAATGACGCCATTGGAGGATGCCCGCAATGGACAAGTAAAGATAAAATTAGAAAATAAAAATAAAACTAAAAGTATAAAAGAAAAGTAAAGATAAAAATAATAAAAAAAAAAAAAACGAAAATAAAGTGCAAACTAAATAAACAAATCTGCTACAAATTCCGAAATTATTATTTTTAACTGTGTTGGTACGAAAAGAAATAAAATAAAGAAAAAAAAATTTAATAGAAAATAGTAAACTAAAATCTTAAAAAATTCAAATCATTGTTCTACAAATTCTCAAAATAAAAAAAAAAAAAAAATTAGAGATATATATAGAGAAAAATGTAAAAAAAAAAAAAAAAAAAGTAATGTACACATAACACCCTTTTTGTAACAACCCTCACTCTAGCTTGTTTGCTTTTGGCTCCCCTGGAGTAGGGTTGTGTCATAGAAACGTATTGAATCTACCTATCACATTTGCCCTCTTCCACACCCAGACGATATAATATTGTGCACATGTAGCTCGCTCAGTGTGGAAGTCTACTAGTGCCACCTGCACACACTTACATACACCCGTCCACAAGTTTGCCACAATCACCCCCCATTTGGGGCCAATGTCCTCGTTGGTCACACTTTCAGCTGGATCTGGTTCTGATACCATTTGTAACAGCCTTAACCTTAGCCAGACATAATATATATTGTCTGCTTTTGGCTCTTCTGGACCAGAGACTTAGGTGATCATCCATCCTGATACTACTTCAGGTTAAACACGCTTAATTTTGGAGTTCTGATGGGTTCACGACCATCACGTGAAGTTCTGGTGGGTTCACGACCATTACGTGGAATAATAACATGAAGCCATGAAGGAACATGGAATTTTGTTGAGGGGAGCCATTGAGAAACATAAAATAAAAAAATACAGAGAGTTTTATTTATTTATTTTTAAAACAAAGTAATAAATTTAATTTTTTATATAATATTTTCATTTGTGATATTTACCATTGTTCTAAATAAAATTTTATATTAAGTAATATTCTCATATAAAATTGAAGATGAAAAAAAGCTATGTATATTTTAAGTAACACAATTATGCAAAATAAAACAATTTCAAATGTTTTCTTGTGTGTGTATCTCATTCCACTTACTGTGTTGTTTTCTTGTGTAAATATCTCATTCCCACTTAGTTTGTGCATTATTAAGATTTTCTAATAACTCAAATTAGTAAAGATTCAACATACTTAAAAAGTCTCTGTTTGCAATAATTTAAAAACTAATTTTTGTATTGGAAACTTAAACTATTTCAATTAAATAAAAAAATTAATCTATAATTAAATCAAATAAATAAAGGATTTGGCACTTTACAATATGATTGTTCACATTTTTATATCGGATGCATATTCATGATTTCCATGTATACAATAAAAATAGTCTAAAGAAAAGTAGATAGACTTTTTATTTAGGTCTTTTTTCATAATAAGAGATTGTAATATTTTCTGATTACTTTGTTTTTTTTTTTGGTAAGTACAAAGTTTTTGTTTGTCATTGTTTTTATTGTAAGCAATACAAAAACAGTTAACGAAGATAATTGGGCACTTTCATGTGTTGAAACAATCACATAACGTTATGTTCACGATATCTCTAACCAGGTCATCTAATAATCAAATACCTTCTTTATTTATTTATTTATTTATTTATTTATTTATTTTTAATGACCATCGCTAGTAATTTAATTAAAATTACAAATCTTGCTTTAAATTATTCCTAAATCCAATTTGAACTAGCCATCTCCATCAAAACAATCATTAGCCGGCACCAAAGTACTTAATTCGTACAATTACCAATTCCACACGCGCAATTCATAATGAAGAATTAAGCAGACGACTCTTTCAATTAGTGAGTGGATGGACGGCATAAAGTTGGCTTAGACAATCTCTCTCTACCCCTGCTTATATCTATAAAAGGAGAACAAAGTGTTACTTCTATAACAATTCAAATATAACTTGTGCTCATCATAAGGAATTCAAAATTATTCTATCATTTCTATAGATTGTTTGATACACTAAACAATATTTCCAAATGGCCTCTCATTTTCTTTTACTAGGAATCATGTTTCTAATTTTTTCCGTTGCTTTGGCGTCCGATCATAGTCCTCTTCAAGATTTCTGTGTCGGAGACAAGAATAGTCCTGGTAAGAAGTCTTTTGTGACTGCATATATAAGCTTTACCAGTTGTACTTGTTGATCAATTTCATGTTTCTAACATTTATTGTGCAACTTAAATGGCAGTGCTAGTGAATGGCATGGTTTGCAAGGACCCCAAGCTTGTACAAGCTGACGATTTCTTCTTCAGTGGGCTTCACATGGTAGGCAACACGTCGAATGCAGTAGGATCAAAGGTGACTCCAGTAAATGTAGCTCAGATAGCAGGACTCAACACTTTTGGCATCTCCCTTGCCCGTATTGACTTTGCACCATTTGGCATCAACCCTCCCCACACACATCCTCGTGCCAGTGAAATTCTGACGGTCCTTGAAGGCAGCCTCCACGTAGGGTTCGTCACCTCCAACCCGGAAAACAGACTCATTTCGAAGGTAATTTACAAGGGTGATGTGTTTGTGTTCCCACAAGGTCTTGTCCATTTCCAGAAAAACGTTGGATATGGTAAAGCAGTTGCCATTGCAGCTCTCAGCAGCCAAAATCCGGGTGTTATTGCCATTGCCAACGCTGTATTTGGATCAAACCCTGACATCTCCAGTGATGTTCTAGCCAAGGCTTTCCAAGTTGACAAGAACACAATCTATCAGATGCAGTCGAAATTCTAGGCGCTAGGCAAGCATTTGGAGCCGTTAACTAACTAAAAAAAAAGAAGAAGAAAAAAGATCACTCAATATTTCTACATGTGTTTAGCTTGCTATTGGCTGATTTAGTGATTTGTTATACTTGTTAATTGATTGTTTGATTTGTTTCAAAGGTGAATAATATTACAGTGTTCAAATTTTATGAAGTACTTTTGACTCGATCTCTGCTTGTGCATTGGTGATGCCATTTATGTTATTATGGGTGCAAAATTTCTAACTCCTACTTCACCCCTATTGTAATCCTCGCTTGATGATCTCTCTCCAGCATTCCCCAAAACTAAATATAAAAGTTTAAGAACATCCGCATCATCACTTCTCAACAATACAGTTATAATTGTGTCTTTCTCACCCAGGGTGGAGCCAAGAATTTAGTTCAGGGAGGGCATATTAATACTGACAAAATAATTCTTTTTCAAACAGGCGGACAATATAATAGTGTAACAACAGTGAATTATAATAAGTGAATAAAAAATAAATAAGAAAAGAAAAAAGAAAAAGAAGGTTATTGCACATTAATTATGCATGAGTGCAAGAAAAAAGAAATTTTTAAGAAGAAAAATGAATTTTTTAAGAAGAAAATAAAATAAAAAGAATAAAATATGAGAAAATTTTGAAGGAAAATATAGATTTTAATTGTAGAAGAAATTAATTGCAAAAGTTTTTGAAGATGACAAAAATAAATTTGAATAATAAGAAGGAAAATAAATAAAGAATTAACAACGTTTTTAAAAATAGATAATTTTATGGGGGATAATTTATAAATTTTATAGGGGTATTTTATATATATTTACAAATTATACGCATAAAATAAAATAAAATATAGTGGATTTAGAGACGGAAGGGTTATTTTATTAATTTTAGGGGGGGTGCATTTTATCATTTTTTACAAATTTTTGTTAACACTTCTTACAATTCGTTATGTACCCTAACTGCTTACAATTTTTTAGTATCAGAAATTTTGTTTGACCTGTTTTCATTTATTTCATTTTGTATTCTAGTACTTTCTTGTATCTAGAATATAAGGGCCGGATAATGGTTGAAACTTTTCGTTAGATTTTCATCATGGGCCGGCTTCACGCAAGGAAGGATGTGTACATAATTGACGTCTCTAGCTAGTTATTACCTAGCTAGTTTCACCTGTATATCTATTGTGTGTTAAGCCCTATGCACATGTGTTGTTTTGATATTTAACGTGGACGTTGGCTTTATGTTGATTCACGTAATTTTTATGTTCTTTATGTGATTTGGGTCGCGGTATTTATCACAACACAAAAAGTACGGTTAATGAGGACTTTAAAAGCACAGCTGGATAAAAAACCTTGTAGATAACAATCCATCAAAAAGCTTAAATTTTAAGAAAGAATGTGCATCATGGCTTGTATCATTCGATACGTGACGTATCAGTCGATATGTTATTCTTTTTCAAGTCTGATATGCGATTCGTGTGTTTATACTAACTTTGTTCAAATACGTTAAATGACCGCGACCGCGAACCATCATGTGCACTTCAATATTTAAATATTATTCAATATATTCCCTCATGTATGGTTTTCTTTTGATCCGAAACATATTTTAATTAATAGGGTGACAGTGACGTTTGAATATATCTTGACTGCTCTGATATCATGTTAATAACCAAATACTTCAAAAACTTAAACTTTTAGGCTCAGTTTGTTTCGACGTAAAATATTTTTTTCGAAAAAGAAATTTTTTTCCAAAATCATTTTTAAATTTTTCAATGTCCGGCAAAGGTTTAGATTGAAGTAGAGGTCATGTCCATCGTGCGGGAAGTGTAAAATAACTTATCAAAAATTGATGAATACGTTATTTTTGTTAAGTTTTAATTTTTTTTTTTCTTTCGTAAATATTTTACAACAACCAAACAGCAGAAAATAAAATTAAAAAATTATTATTATTATTATTATTTATATGCAAACAAACATAATTTTAGAAAAGGTGTAACTTTAATATTTAAATCATTCAACATCACATTTATTTTTAACTCTACTCTTCTAAAGAGCTTGCTGTTTATTAGCTTTGCAGATTGCTGCCTGTTGCCTTAAGGGTTCTTTGTACAGCTTCCCTTTTAATACAATCTTATCTTATGGGGAACTTTTTAATGAAATTGCTGGGGAAACCACCAACCATATATAGTCCAATATTGACAATAAGCATCAGCTTTTCAAAATTTTCAAATGTGTAATGCTATTCTCAGGACAAGTGCACTTTTCTTATTTAAACCAATTTGATTGGTGAATATGGCTTCACACTCGCCTTCCACAATGTTTAGTGATTAGGTGAAAATCAATCCGAATTTATTTTCAAACAATCACAATAACTGTGATATCAAACAAATAAATAAATCACGGATATTGTGATTGATTTTCATCCGATCCAATTTAGGCCAAAGAATATGAGTGGTGTTTCTCATGAACTGATATATATTTTTTATTTTATAAATTTGTGAAAATTTAAAAATCATTTAATATATTTTTCAATCTTTGTCAATAGAGGAAAACAAAAAGAAAGTAAATTTGTACCACAAGACATCTTTCAACTTTTTAGGACAAAATAATTAAATACCTTTAACATTGATTTTTCTGATAAACAATACAAGAACAATTAACCAACAATTATCTACACATTTGTAGACAATAAGGGGCTTTCATGTGTTAAACAATCACATAACGCTATGTTCATGATTTGGCAGACCAAGTCATCTCAATATCAAATGTTTTGATGACCATGACTGATAATTTAATTTAAGAAAAAAAAATCTTGTTTATTACGTTGTTTAAAGACTGCTTGCTTTAAATTATTCATAAATCCAGTTTGAACTAGCCGTCTGCATCAAACACATATATACAAAGACGGCACCAGAGAATTTAAATTGTACTATTTACCAATTCAACACGCAGTGAAGAATTAAGCAGACGACCCTTTCCATGGTGAGTGGATGGACGGCATAACGTAAAGCTGGCTTGACTCGATCTGTCTCCTCCTATATCTATAAAAGGAGAGCAAAGTGTTACTTGTATAACATCTCGATTCTCAAATATACTTGTGCTTAATTATCATAAGGAATTCAAAGATTGATATTCCTCATTTCTATAGATTGTTTGATACACTAAACAATATATTTCCAATGGCCTCCCATTTTCTTATACTAGGAATCATGGCTCTAGCTTTTTCCGTTGCTTTGGCATCTGATCATAGTCCTCTTCAAGATTTCTGTGTTGGAGACAAGAATAGTCCAGGTAATAAATCTTTTGTCATCTGCATAAGCTTTGCTTCTGATGTATACATCCCAATTGTACTTGTAGATCAATTTCATGTTGTTGAGGTTGTGGAGCCTGAATCACAGTCCGGGTTTATGTCATCACTTAATGGACCCTAGTGAGCTCACGGGGATCTTTCTGGTGACCTCAAGGGGGTTCATGGGGGCAACACGCACTGAGTTTTTTTTTTTTTTTTTTTTTGAAGATTGTCTTTTATACCCATGAATGCCCTTTGTATTCAAGTTTCCTTATTTTTCCATGTTCAGGGGTGTGTGTTTGTTGAGGCAGCTGAATTATGAAGTTTTATGTCTGAGAGCTTTCTTTTGTAAACACCCATTTTAAATTTTTGGTGCGTTCTATGGAAGTAGACAAAATAATTTTGTCCAACCACGTGAATATTGTTTTTTTCTTGTGCATGTGGTTGTTTTTTCTTGATTGTATTCTATTCCCAACACACATTTCTTACATTTTTTGTGCAACATGACAGTGCTGGTGAATGGCATGGTTTGCAAGGACCCCAAGCTTGTACAAGCCAACGATTTCTTCTTCAGTGGGCTTCACATGGCAGGCAACACGTCGAATGCAGTTGGATCAAAGGTGACTCCAGTAAATGTAGCTCAGATAGCAGGACTCAACACCCTTGGCATCTCCCTTGCGCGTATAGACTTTGCACCATTTGGCGTCAACCCTCCCCACACACATCCTCGTGCCAGTGAAATCTTGACAGTCCTTGAAGGCAGCCTCCATGTAGGGTTCGTCACTTCCAACCCGGAAAACAGACTCATCAGTAAGCTACTTCACAAGGGTGATGTGTTTGTTTTCCCAGAAGGTCTTGTCCACTTCCAGAAAAACATTGGCTATGGTAATGCAGTTGCTCTTGCAGCTCTCAGCAGCCAAAATCCTGGTGTTATCACCATTGCCAATGCTGTCTTTGGATCAAAACCAGACATTTCCAGTGATATTCTAGCAAAGGCTTTCCAACTAGACAAGAACACAATCTATCAGATACAATCGAAATTCTAGGCGCTAGGAAACCATTTGGAGCAAAAAATTACTCAATATTTCTACATGTGTTTAGCTTGCTATTGTTTGATTTAGTTGATTTGTTATATTTGTTAATTGATTATTTGATTTGTTTCAAAGATGAATAAAGTTCGAGTGTTCAAATTTCAAAAATTTATACAGCATCACTTGATAGCACTGCAATTACAACTGCGTCAATGCCCGAGTTACAATTCTTTATGTGCCCTAATGGTTACTACAACAAATTACAACATTCCCATCAGCATTACAATTACAACGGTGTCTCTCCTACAGTTACAATGCTTTATGTATCCTAAGTTCTGTCACTACAACAAATTAGGTTTTGTTGTTCAAAATTTTTCGCAGCAAAAAGATTTTTTTTTTTTTACACGTGTACTGTTATTAAACGAAATGACCTTAACCTTTTTTTAACTTATTTTGTTACATCACCGTGTTTTTAACAATATTTTCTGTTGTAATTTCTTTAGCAATGACTTTTTAAAAAATATAAAGGATGAAAACAAGACCGTTGGGATGAAAATGTAAAATCTTTTGGTGACAGAGGATATTCATGAAGATTGTAAAAGAAACAGTTTACAAATTCTTTTTGGTGCCACTGATAAAAAAAAAAAAAATTTATAACAAATTTCTTTCATTGCATTGGACGGCTGAGCTGGCTAGACTCTCCTTCATTGTCGCTATAAAAACAGCCATCCATATGATTCTTTCAAAACTCAAATCTTCATTCCTTGAGCTTGTTAGCTAGCTATTCGAGCTTTCAATCTCTCCCGGCCTTTAGATTGCGGTAATAACTCAAAAATACGTATCTTTCCAAATGACCTCCTGTTTTCAGTTGCTTGCAGGAGTCTTGGCTGTAACTTTTACTGTTGCTCTAGCAAACCGCCATCCCATTAATGATTTCTGCGTTGCAGACAAGAAAAGCCCAGGTATATATATATGATAATTATTAGGATTATGACAAAAAGTTCTAAAATGAATCAAATGACGTTATCATATTAATAATGTCAGCATAATGTTATTTTCCACCACATAAAAAAAAAGAAAAAAAAGTCCAACTACATTTTAGTTATCGTAGTCTCTCTGTATTTGTCGGACTTTTTTTTTGATACGAGGGAGATTATGATCATGATGTCAACCCCACTCACATCAAACAGTTTATTAATTACACTCCATATCATTTTTCTTGTATAAATATGAAATTAATACTTATTTTACTTGTAAAGAACTTGATGTTCCTAGCTTGCATAATCAATTATGTTCATGATCATGGCAGTGCTAGTGGATGGTTTTGTATGCAAGGACCCAAAACTGGTTGAAGACAATGATTTCTTCTCGAGTGGACTTCACATACCAGGCAACACATCAAACCAGCTTGGATCAAAGGCCACACCAGCAAATATTTTACAAATACCAGGACTCAACACACTCGGCATCTCACTTGTCCGGATAGACTATGCACCCTATGGTGTCAATGCTCCCCACACACACCGTGCCACAGAGATTTTTACAGTCCTGAAAGGCATCCTTGAAGTTGGATTTGTCTCATCTAATCCCGGGAATCGACTGTACACAAAGGTGCTACGAAAGGGTGATGTATTTGTATTCCCAATTGGTACCATCCACTACCAAAGAAATTTGTGGCGTAGACCTGCTGTTGCCATGGCCGCTCTCAACAGCCAAGACCCGGGTGTCACCTCTATTGAAAATGCACTGTTTAAGGCTAAACCTAATTTTCCTAGTGAAATGCTGGCCACGGCTTTCCAGACCGATAATAATGTTATCACTAACATCCAGTCCAAATTTTAGACTGGTTAGGAACAACGAATTACATGAGTTTGTTTTGATATTTCATTGTTTTTGCTCTTTTGTATGTGAAAATAATTTATTCAATTGTATTTACTCTCAAAAAATATAATTTATTCGGTTGTAATATTTTGTAATTGTGTGTTTAGGACCAAAATGAACACAACCAAGAGAATTAACTCTTCATGGGAAGTAGTATATGTTAGCTATTGTTTTAATTTACATAAACGCCTGAACAATTCAATGATTAGGTTAAGTTGGTAGAATTGCCGAGGGGTAAGTGGGTTTCGCCTAAAAAAAAATAGAAAGAAAGAAAAGAAGTGAGGGCAATTTGGGCATCAAATATTACAAACATACGTTTTTTAGTGACTTTGATTTTTAATTATTATTATTATTATTTTAAAACTTTGTGAGTTTTAACTCCCATGTGGTGCAAAATAAAGAGGCTCAAATTTCCAATTTCTTTGATAAATATATATATATATATATTTATATTTCCTATTAGTGGAGAGAGCTAGATTCAAATTTTGAGCTTTCCTTATTTTGTTCTTTTCTTTGCTGTTGTGATTTTGCTCTTGCTTTCTACCCTCTGAGCTTGCTATTACTTTGTGAAGGAGTAATTTGTGCCTTTTAAGACTTCGATCTTTTTTTTAGAGGAATATTTTTTTTTAATGACTAGAAACCTTTGTAACCACCGGTATGTTGTTAGGTAAACCTTCGAATATATACAGGTCACACATATCAGTTAAGCTCGGATTTACTGTGGAGAGTAGACAAAATTATACCATATAATGATCTAATAACATGTTTTTATGTTAATATTGAATAAACTGTAGCACAGTGAAAATTACATATTCTAAATCATATTAGGTATGCTATAAAACTTAAAGAAAAAAAAAAAAAAAAGTTGTACAAAGGGCCGGGAGGCCTCAATAGGCCCATTCACATGGGGCGCAGCCCTTTCCCGGGATTATTATTATTTTTTTACTAGGCCCAAAGGAAGATAATTTTTTTTTTTTTTTTTGATGACCCAGAACTCTCTGAAACAAGGCCCCTTAGAGACCCCACCTCATGGCGCCAAACTGGGGATAATGTAGCACAACTCCATAGCCACACACCGAATGAGTCGAGAACATAGGAGACTTGGGAGGTTCGAACACTGACCTGTGGAGTGCAAGCGCCGAGCTCCCGCCATTCCCCGGGAGCCGAAGGAAGATAATATTGCCACAATATGCATATAACAAAAAGGACTGCTTATGATGATGATACAAAGCGACCAAATTGTTAAAAGACCTAATAAGCACTTAAAATGAATGCAAACAAGTCACAGTAACATATAAATTGCATCTGAGCAAGCCACACATATAAATGTTCCCCACGACCACAACGGTCTAGTTAACCATTTAAATGTTGGATTTGGGCTGGGTGTTTGTGGGTCATTGGCTTGTTGCACTTCAGCATTGTATTTCTTTCATTTGGGCTCCATACCTTATTGGGCCTGAATTTGTACCTTCCTACTTATTTATATAATTTGATCTTTTAATTTTCAAAAAATAAAAAAATAAAAAAAAAAAATAAACAGACGTCTCTCAAATGATATGGCAGATTAACACCCAGAAAAAAACAAAGTATAAGTTTATATATTCCATCGTTTAATGGAATTGCTGAGGACACCACTAACCAGAGTCCATGGTAACCACAAGCATTAAAATTTCAAATTACCAATAACAATAATAATAATAATACTAATAAAATAAAGTTCTCTTTGTGGGGGCAAGTGACAGTCAATCTATCAAGGCGAAAGGTATTAAATACCTTTATCATTGTTTTTCTTGTAAACAATATAATAACAGTTAAGGAGTAGTCATTTGCAGACAATTGGGTACTTTCATGTGTTAGAATAATCGCATATCACTTTCTTCATGTTTAGGAGAAGGTTTGTGCCCCTTGTGGGCTTGGTTGATGGGCCATATGTCCTAAGTTTGTAATTTACAACTTTGCCGGATTGGGTAAAATTCATATCGTCCCATTTTACTGTATTTGGCTATTGTACAATTTTCTCATTAATAAATTGCTTGAATTTTCAGAAAAAAAAAATAAAAATAAAAAAACGCTTACTTTAATTCATAAATCTAGTTTGAGCATGTCATTAGCCGGCACCAAAGAATTAAATTTGTACTATTACCAATTCCACGGTCAGTTCATATATAGCGAAGAAAGAGTCAATCTGACACGTACACAAAATTATATATTTCCAATGGCCTCTCATTTTCTTTTACTAGGAATCATGGCTCTAACTTGTTCCGTTGCTTTGGCATCTGATCATAGTCCTCTTCAGGATTTCTGTGTTGCAGACAAGAATAGTTTAGGTAAGAAATCTTGTCACTGCATAAGCTAGGTTTTTAATTGATAGTTAATTAAAAAACCCAATTGTACTTGTTGATCAATTTCACATTTCTTTCATTTTTTGTGCAACATGGCAGTGCTAGTAAATGGCATGGTTTGCAAGCCTGACTCCAAGCTTGTACAAGCCAACGATTTCTCCTTCAGTGGGCGGCAGACAACACATGAAATGCAGTTGGATAAAAGGTGACTTCAGTAAATGTAACTCAGATAGCAGGACTCAACACTCTTGACATCTCCCTAGCTTGCGCGTATAGACTTTGCACCATTTGGCATCAACCCTCCCCACACACATCCTCGTGCTAGTGAAATCTTGACGGTCCTTGAAGGCAGCTTCCACGCGGGGTTCGTCACCTCCAACCCGGAAAACAGACTCATCACGAAGGTACTTTACAGCGGTGATGTGTTGGTGCTCCCGGAGGGTCTTGTCCACTTCCAGAAAAACATTGGATATGGTAATGTAGTTTTCCCATTGCAGCTCTCAGCAGCCAATTAATGCTGTCTTTGGATCAAAACCAGACATTTCCGGTGATATTCTAGCAAAGCCTTTCCAAGGTGACAAGAACACAATCTGTCGGATGCAGTCGACAGTCTAGGCACTAGGCAACCATTTGGAGCGGTTATGTCAAGAAAAATTACTCAATATTTTTATTTGTGTTTAGCTTGCTATTGGTTTGATTTAGTTGATTTGTTAACTGATTATTGCATTTGTTTCAAAGTCGAATAAAATTCGGGGGTTCAAATTCTAAAAAATGTTGACTCTCTTCTTGTGAATGCAATGATTACAACTGCCTCTTTGCTACAGTTACAATTCTTTATGTACCTTAGCTGTCACTGCAACAAATTAGATCATCTTTTCTGGTACAAAATTTTCACTGCAACCCTCACTTGATTGTATGTTTTCTAATTAATTGAAGTAATAATATTTTATTTTGTAATTTCTTCAGCTGATGAAAACAAGACCGTTGGGACGAAAAAGTAATTAGCTTGGTGATAGAGGATATTTGGTAGAATTGTAACAGAAACAGTTGGTCTAACAAATTCATTTTGGTGCCATTGACAAAAATAATAATAATAAATAATTAAAAAAAAAAATTTTTATAACAAATTTGTTTCATTGCATTGGACGGCGGAGCTGAGTAGACTCTCCTTCATTGTCGCTATAAAAATAGCCCCCATATGCTGCTTTCAAAACGTACTCAAATCTTCAGTCAATGTGCTATCTACCTATTCAAGCTTTCAATCTCTCTGTCGGCCTTTAGATTGTGATAATAACTCAAAATATAGCTTTCCAAATGGCCTCCTTTTTTCAGTTGCTTGCAGGACTCTTGGCTATAACTTTCTCTGTTGCTCTAGCGGACCGCCATCCCATTAATGATTTCTGTGTTGCAGACAATAAAAGCCCAGGTATATATATTTATATATGACAATAATTAGAGTTGTGACTAAGTGAAACAGTTTGGTTAATATCATTTTCCTGTAACAACATATGAAATTAATGCAAATTTTTTTTTTTTTTTGAATAATTAATGCGTATTTTATTTGTAAAGAACTTAATGTTCGTTACATAATTAATTATGTTCATGATCATGGCAGTGAGAGTGGATGGTATGGTATGCAAGGACCCAAAACTGGTTCAAGACGATGATTTCTTCCACAGTGGACTACACATACCAGGCAACACATCAAACCAGCTTGGATCAAAGGTGACTCTAGTAAATATTTTACACATACCAGGACTCAACACTCTCGGCATCTCAATTGTTCGTATTGACTATGCACCTTATGGTGTCAACAGTCTCCACACACACCGTGCCAGCGAGATCTTGACGGTCCTGAAAGGCACCCTTGAAGTTGGATTTGTCTCGTCTAATCCCGAAAATCGACTCTTCTCAAAGGTGCTAAAAAAGGGTGATGTATTTGTATTCCCGACTGGTACCATCCACTTCCAAAGAAATCTGGGACGTAGGCCTGCTGTTGCCCTCGCCGCTCTCAACAGCCAAAACCCGGGTGTCACCACTATTGGAAATGCACTGTTTGGGTCTAAACCAAAATTTAATAGTGATATGATGGCCAGGGCTTTCCAGACGGATACCAAAGTTATCAGCAACCTCCAGTCCAAATTTTAGACGAGAACTATTAGTTAGAACAACGAATTAATTAAGAACGAATTGTTATATGTGACAATATTTGATTGAATTGTTATATTTGTTTTTGCCATCATAATTATGAATTTATTCGTTTCTTCTCATTTTTCTTCTAATTAACCTGCAATCCTAGCTTTAAATTTGTTCTTATATTGCATGGACGCGTACGAATCGTATGCGTCCATACGATTAATATCCCAAGAAAACAAATCTATATTGTTTGTGACTGTTAAGGTGATTTACAAGATCTAATTTTCCTAAATTATACCCCACAATATATGATCTGCTACTACTACTACTTCAATTATTATATTTTCCTTTGAAAGAAATAGTAAGATATTCAGATCATTCAGTTTTGATCACTTTGCTGCGCGCATTTATATGTTTTATTTTGGGTTTTTGTTTTGACTTGGACAAATTGATTTGGTTTCATCAGTCAAGTTGCGTGTTGAATTTAGTTTGAAATCACAAAATTTCTGCAGATTGATGAGACACACTTGTATTAGTCAAATGGTAAACTTTTAGAATGAAAGCAACTGAAAAATGGAAATGAATGATTAATTTCTTGCTATTTTTTACTTCTACTTTTAGACCACTAGCAAACCAAACCAGAAATATAGCCGCTATTAATTTTGAATGATTGGTAGCTATTCAAATGAAAATTGATTTGATAAAAATTTTTAAATTACTATTTGTTATTTTGGAAAAGAAAATGTTGAAGAAAAAGAAGTAGAGCAGAGGTAAAGGGAAAATGTGCCATTACAGAAATAAAGATGGCAACTCCGTGGCACTTTTTGGACTGCCATTAGTGTTGGAAAAGTTTGGAAGAATCACGTTTAATGGTTTTGATAACATGAAATTCACAAGAAAATATAATAATAATAACTGTGTGAAGATATAAGGGTAAGGCAACTTGGATAGGGACAGCAATTAGCCCACTGCTAACAAGAGAACAATCAAGCAAAACAACCCCAGCCTAAGTGAAGAGGCCCAAGATCAACCCCAGCCATAGCTGCACTTGGTTGTTCCTCCTTCTAACTTTCACCCTCACCTATTTATATGTATTCCTTCCCCAATGGGCAGCCAGAATGTATTACAATAAATGATTAAAGTCGTACTCTCTTGATCAACTGTCCATTTAAAAATCTACAACTCTACAAAAATTCTCTATACTACTAGAATATTCTCTACATGCTGCAAACTCTTTATATATTTTAGAATCTTTCATACAATACTCCACAAATGTGGAAGACTTTAGAAATCAACTTTATTCATGTCATGTAGTCCTATTCGGTGCTAGTGTGTCGACAGCATGGTAATCTTCCTGCAAATGGGCGGGAGTCACACTACGCTATGTATTTACTATAAAATCTTAAATTTACTGGCAAAGTACTTAATGTTCCTAATATAATTATGTTCATCATGGCAGTGCTAGTGAATGGTCTGGCATGCAATGACTCAAAACTGGCTCAAGCCAATGATTTCTTCTCCAATGGACTTCACATAGCAGCAACACAACAAGCCCACTCGGATCAAAGATTCAAAGGTAACCCAATAGCTCATGCCATACAAATACCAGGACTTAAAACTCTTGGGCATCTAAAAATTGTCCGTATTGACCTGACCATGCACTCTGGGGCATCAACCCTCCCCCCACACATCTTCGTGCCACTGAGATTTTGACTGTCATGATGCACATATTGCAAAATTAAACAGATAATAAAAGAGGTCAAACACACACAATAAAAATACACAGATTTTACTTGGTTCATTCAAAATCTAGTGTTACGTCCAAAGGTGTAGGGATTTTATTATGATGATAAAAAAAACAACAGATACAAAGATTTAAAATGAATAAAATACTCTCGTACTAGAGTAACATAACAAGTGTGAAAATTATCAAAATACCATTCAAAAAATTCACGGAGTTAAACCTTGGTGTACCGTATGAATCAAGCTCCACACTTGGCACATTACCCATCTGCACACATTATTATTGACAGAAGTTTACCAAATTCAACGTCTTTATAATGTACTTTGAAACGATTAACAAAGTCCTGAAGTTAGTATCAATTAGCACAGATTATTATTATTATTTATTTATTATTATTTTTTTCTTACCAAAAAAAATATTGAGATTCCTGCTTGATGCATTTGGCGTTAGCATAACTTCCAAATTTATGCAACTAAAGTGGCTCCTACGTTGAATGATCTTTTCTCGGCGTAATGATTGGGATGAGTCTCGTACCAACTTTTGTTGGTAGAGGACACTGCTCTGTCTCGATGGGGACTAATGGCCACACAAGCTGTCAATATGCTTTTAGATCGGATCTGGGACTTGCTCTAGTTTCATTAAGAGATCAGTAAAAGATATAGATAAAACTTAAAAGGGCGAGCTCTGTACTAAGTTACCTTCAATTAAAAAGGGTGAAATGTACTTCGTCTTATATTGTATAATGTGTGGCTTACATTGTATAATTTGTAGCTGTTTACGTTTTGAAACTGTGACACTAAAACAATCTTACAGTCAGGAGCAAAGGAGCTCTAATTTTTTTCTCAAAATAGTTGTTAATGGTAAATTTGTATATGAAAAAGTTACTTGTGATCCATTCAAAGTCTTTAGTGTTGTTTTTAAAAATTCAAAAATATATATATATAGGTATATAATCTAGTTATAATTGTTCTAAACAGGTGTTACTCTCACAATGTGCGCACGCTTTCATTCTTATGCTCCGCAGGCATTTTTTTTTCTACTCTACTTTATGTCCTGCTCTCGCACTCCTTCACCTCTCGCTCCCTCTCTCACTTTGTGCGACTTAGGTTGTAATTCTTTCTACAACATATTAATACACACTTATATAAATTATTTGTTATGATTTAAAGAGAGAAGTAGAAGAATGTCATATTTAACTTGAGCACTCTTCTCTCTGTTTCTTTTTCTCATATATGGTTGTAAAAATGTACATTAAAAATGCACCAAAACAAAAATTATTACAATTTTATTTTATTTTATTTTATTGCATTCATAGATTCAATTTGAGCCTGCATTTGTTCCTATTCACACCTTGTCATTGCCGGCTAAGAAACACTTGGTGTTACATGGATATGCACATTTTCATTGAAGAATTTGTACTTTTACCGTTTCCACGTGCTTCTTCGTTATGAATAATGAAGACTAGATCAACATTTTCATTGCATTGGAGGGCTGAGCTGACTAGCTTCTCCCTCATCGTCTCTATAAAAGCAGCCCCATATGGTGCTTTCAGAACTCAACTCTTCATTGTGTGATTCCTATTCAGGCTTTCTAATCTCTCCCTCTAGATTGTGGTACTATATATATAACTCAAAAACACATTTTTCCAAATGGCCGCCTCTTTTCTTTTGTTAGGACTCTTGGCTATAACCTTTTCTGTTGCTCTGGCTGACCTTAGTCCCCTTCAAGATTTCTGCGTTGGAGACAAAAACAGCACAGGTATGATAATAATGCTCTTCAGTCTAGTCTCTGTATTCACTATAAAATCCTACTCTTTGAGGGTGGAGAGGTTATATTACTGGTCTAATGGGTCATTTTAATTTTGAACTTGTAAAGTACTTGATATATATAATGTTACTTACATAATTATGTTCATCATGACAGTGCTAGTGAATGGTATGCCATGCAAGGACCCAAAACTGGCTCAAGCCAGTGATTTCTTCTTCAGTGGACTTCACATTGCAGGCAACACATCGAATCCAGTCCGATCAAAGGTCACCCCAGTAACTGTTGGAAACGGCATTAGAAAACGCAAACTTTGGAAGGATTTTTAAAAAGATTCCGCTAAGAATTTTTTGCGAATCTATTGATGAGCGCGTTCCTCTCTACGAGGAGATGAACGTGGTATATTTATTTTCTCAAATCCGTTTCCGGGTGAATGAGAAATTGGCTCCAAAGTAAGTGATTTATAAAGCCTAAATGGGTGTGAATAAAGTGGGAAATGCTTGTCCCACATCGAAAAAGTAGCAAAGCAACCTTGAGTATATATATGTCTAGTATGGGATTTGGGTTTGGGCCCAAGGGCACCCAAGTTTTTAAGAGGGGGAGGACCTAGGCTAGCCTGGATCCGAACCAACTACCACGCGCACGCCGCCCGCCCGGTCCGGGCTAGGGCTGGGCTTGATTGTGAAATGGGCCTGTTTACTGGGCTGACGAGAGTTGCACCCTTTACAAATTAAAAAACCACCAACAGTTTTTTAAAATACCCATCATTGGGTTCATTTCAATTTACACCAAGTTCTGAATGTCTTCTTCTTTGTTCGGTTCAACCTAAACTGGTTTGGATTGGGTTCGAACCTTGGTTTCCAAGTTTCGGTTCAATCTTGGTCTCCGGGTTAGGGTTCAATCCTGGTCTCCGAGTCTAAGTTCAACAGAGAGTACTACACCGAGTCGGTTCGCCTATTCCATTGGTTTGAAGTGCTACTACCAAAGGAAGAAAAGTCGTTGTATCCTGGGAGATAGACGCCGAAGAGTCTGTTAGCACCGTAGCGGGGCGTATCTGTCTTAAGGCTATAGAATTAAATTCTAGCCTCGACTTTATCAGGTTCTTTTATAGTTTTATTTTCTTGATATTAAACTATATAAATATATATATAGATTATTATAATAAATATTATATTTACAAATAATATTTAAATAAATTATACTATAGTATATGATATATAATTTTATCAACAATCTTAAGACAGATACCTTTATACTATAGTAATAATTATTTAATTATTATTCTTGTTATAATTAATTATAATTTGACTCGTGATCTGTATATCAATATATAACAGACAAATGGCAAGTACGAGTATTACCGTGCCTAATGTTCCCGTCAGTCATGGGGAGAAGCCCGAAAAATTCAACGGGACAGAGTTTAAAAGGTGGCAACAGAAAATGATGTTCTACCTTACAACTCTGAATCTAAGCAAGTATCTGACTAAGACTGCTCCAGTGTTAGATGAGGGTGATACAGACATTACCAAACTTGGAGCTGTTGATACATGGAAGCATGGAGACTTCCTATGCAAGAACTACATCCTTAATGGATTGGACAACACCTTATATAATGTGTACAGTCCAATAAATACTGCTAAAGAGCTTTGGGAGTCGTTAGACAAAAAGTATAAAACAGAGGATGCTGGATTGAAGAAATTCGTGGTTGGACGATTTCTGGACTTCAAAATGATAGACTCCAAGACAGTCGTGAGCCAAGTGCAGGAGCTCCAGCTGATCCTACATGAGATACATGCTGAGAAGATGACATTGAGTGAATCCTTTCAAGTAGCTTCAATCATTGAAAAGCTGCCACCTACTTGGAAAGATTTCAAAAATTACTTGAAGCATAAGCGCAAGGAAATAGGGCTCGAAGACTTAATTGTTAGGCTGAGAATTGAAGAAGATAACCGTACATTTGAAAAGAGAGCCGGAAATTCTTCAATAGTGTCAAAGGCAAATGTAGTGGAAGCAGGACAGAAAAATAAGAAGAGGAAGCACTCTGGAGAAGGTCCTAGCCAAGGAAACTATAAGAAGTTCACTGGGAAGTGTTTCATATGCGGCAAGCTAGGACACCGAGCTAAAGATTGTCGTAGCCGCAAAACACATCATAACCCCAAGAAGAAGACCACTGAGGTGCACATAGCTGAAGAAGATAAGTTGACAGCTGATGTATCAGAGTTAAATCTTTCAGCTAAGGTTTCTGAAATCAACCTGGTAAGCAACAACAGAGAATGGTGGGTGGACACAGGAGCTACTCGTCATGTTTGCTCTGAAAAGAGGATGTTCACTACCTATGAAACTATAAATAATGAAGAACAACTTTACATGGGGAATTCTTCTACTGCAAAGGTTGAAGGACAATGAAAGATCAAGTTACTAATGACCTCAGGGAAAGAGCTCACTCTTAATAATGTGCTGCATGTACCAGACATCAGGAAGAACTTGGTCTCTGGGTCACTACTAAGCAAGAATAGGTTCAAGCTGGTCTTTATATCTGATAAGTTTGTGCTGACTAAGAATAGGGTGTATGTGGGCAAAGGGTATCTAAGTAATGGATTATTTAAGTTCAATGTAATGACTGTTATACCCAAAGCTATTAATGATAATAATAAAGCTAGTGCTTCTTCTGCTTATATTATTGACTCATCTGATGTATGGCATGGTAGGTTAGGACATGTTAATTATGATACTATTCGTAGATTGATTAACATGGAATCTATACCTAAATTTAATATTGATTTAAATAAAAAATGCCAAACATGTGTAGAAGTAAAATTGACTAGAACCTCATTTCACTCCATAGAGCGAAGTACTGAACCTCTAGCATTAATTCACAGTGATATCTGTGACTTTAAATCTGTGCCAACTAGAGGTGGGAAAAAGTATTTCGTTACTTTTATTGATGACTGCACAAGATATTGTTATGTATACTTGTTAAGAAGTAAAGATGAAGCCTTGGAAATGTTTAAACATTACAAGAATGAGGTTGAGAATCAACTTGGAAAAAAGATAAAGATGTTTAGAAGTGATAGAGGTGGTGAATACGAAATACCATTCGCTGACATTTGTTCAGAACATGGTATTATTCACCAAACTACCGCTCCTTATTCACCTCAACAAAACGGTGTTGCTGAACGCAAAAACCGTACCTTAAAAGAAATGATGAATGCTATGTTGATAAGTTCTGGTTTAACCCAGAATTTGTGGGGGGAAGCTTTGCTCTCTGCTAATTATGTTCTCAACAAGGTACCTCAAAAGAAATCAAATGTGACACCTTATGAATTATGGAAAGGTCAAAAACCTTCCTATAAATTCTTAAAAGTGTGGGGGTGTTTAGCTAAGGTTGCGGTTCCTACTCCTAAGAAAGTTAAGATAGGACCAAAAACCTTTGATGGTATTTTCATAGGCTATGCACAGAATAGTAGTGCATATCGTTTTCTTGTGCATAAATCAGACATTCCTGATATCCATGTCAATACAATTATTGAGTCAAGGAATGCTTATTTCTTTGAGGATATATTTCCATGCAAAAATCCTCTTAAAAGAAATTATGATACTGCTAATAGCAATATACAAGAGAATATAGACCAAGAGTCTATAAATGATAAAAATGAGGAAGAACCTAGACGTAGCAAAAGAGCTAGAACGTCTAAGTCATTCGGTCCTGACTTTCTGACAAATATAGTGGAGAATGAGCCACAAAGCTACAAGGAAGCTATGTCTTCTCCTGAAACTAATTTATGGAAAGAAGCCATAAATAGTGAAATTGAATCCATCATGCAAAATCATACTTGGGAGCTGGTGGATCTTCCTCCTGGTACTAAAACTTTAGGGTATAAGTGAATTTTCAAGAGGAAGATGAAACCTGATGGTTCAATTGAAAAATATAAAGCCCGACTTGTTGCTAAGGGATATAGGCAAAAAGAAGGCCTGGATTATTTTGATACATATTCACCAGTCACAAGAATAACATCCATTAGATTGTTACTAGCTATTGCAGCACTGCAAAACTTAGAAATACATCAAATGGATGTTAAGACTGCCTTCTTAAATGGTGAATTAGAGGAAGAAATCTATATGGAACAACCTGAAGGGTTTATAGTTCCAGGGAAAGAAAAGAAGGTGTGCAAACTTGTAAAATCCTTATATGGATTAAAACAAGCACCTAAACAATGGCATGAAAAATTTGACAAAGTGATGTTGTCAAATGGTTTTAAAATTAATGAGTGTGATAAATGTGTGTATGTGAAAAACACTCAAAATGTATATGTCATTGTGTGCCTATATGTGGATGATATGCTAATAATGGGTAGTAATGATGTTATAATCAAAACTACTAAAAAGATGTTGACCAAAAATTTTGATATGAAAGATTTAGGCATAGCTGATGTCATACTAGGAATTAAGATTTCTAGAACATCAGATGGTCTAGTATTATCTCAATCTCACTATATTGAGAAAATATTAGAAAAGTTTAATAAAGGGGATAGTAGTCTTGTAAAGACTCCTGTTGATGTAAATCTTCATTTATCGAAAAATACTGGTCCTAGTATATCACAACTTGAGTATTCTCGCATTATAAGAAGCTTAATGTATTTGACGAATTGTACACGCCCAGACATAGTATACTCAGTTAATAAATTAAGTAGATATACTAGTAATCCAGGAAAGAACCATTGGACTGCAATAATTAGGGTTCTAAGGTATTTAAATATACTATAAGTTATGGATTACATTATTCTAGATATCCAGCAGTACTTGAAGGATACAGTGATGCTAATTGGATATCAGATACAAAGGATTCTAAATCCACAAGTGGCTATGTCTTTACTATTGGAGGAGGTGCCATATCTTGGAAATCTTCAAAACAAACTTGTATTGCCAGATCCACTATGGAATCTGAATTTATTGCTTTGGATAAAGCAGGTGAAGAAGCTGAGTGGCTTCGTAATTTCTTAGAAGATATTCCAAATTGGCCTAAACCGGTGCCCGCTATATGTATACATTGTGATAGTCAATCAGCAATTGGAAGGGCACAAAGTAATATGTACAACGGTAAGTCTCGACATATACGTCGACGACATAATACCGTTAGACAATTGCTCTCAAGTGGGATAATCTCAATAGATTATATCAGGTCAAAAGATAATTTAACGGATCCGTTTACAAAAGGTTTGACAAGAGAGCAAGTATATAGTTCATCGAGGGGAATGGGATTAAAGCCGAAAGCTAACGAGTCATCTTAATGGAAACCCAACCTAGTTGACTGGAGATCCCAAGATCTAGGTTCAAAGGGACAACAGAAATACTGAATGGCTCACCAGAAGCACTGGGAAGATTCAATCTTCTACCCATTTCTATGATGAGACAGTGTTACCTACAGCGATGAGTAGGATAAGCTATGCTTTTAATGACTCTTATACCTTGAAAATTCAAGTGGGGTATGGTAGGATACTCTTAATAAGAAGTCACCTATATGAGTGTGAAGTGGGGCCGCTTCTATGAGAACTTCTAAGGCTAAGTTTTCTGGAGCGCTCATGAAATACTAGGCGTTGTTCAGGGCCATATGAACACAACCGTGAGAACCGACTTTGTGTGGGAAGGAATTGTGTATTTGCTATTGTCTTGGTTTACATCAACGGCTGAACAGTTCAAGACATAATGTTCACTGGTTAGCTAGTAAATCCGGTAGTAATACACTAGGGAATGTTCAAGGCCAAAAGCTACCTATCCCGATGCAGTAACTTTCCAATAGTACTCTCTATAGTGTCTGTATCTTCTCCTTTTGTAATCTGCGCAAATTTTCATTCATGTGGGGGATTGTTGGAAACGGCATTAGAAAACGCAAACTTTGGAAGGATTTTTAAAAAGATTCCGCTAAGAATTTTTTGCGAATCTATTGATGAGCGCGTTCCTCTCTGCGAGGAGATGAACATGGTATATTTATTTTCTCAAACCCGTTTCCGGGTGAATGAGAAATTGGCTCCAAAGTAAGTGATTTATAAAGCCTAAATGGGTGTGAATAAAGTGGGAAATGCTTGTCCCACATCGAAAAAGTAGCAAAGCAACCTTGAGTATATATATGTCTAGTATGGGATTTGGGTTTGGGCCCAAGGGCACCCAAGTTTTTAAGAGGGGGAGGACCTAGGCTAGCCTGGATCCGAACCAACTACCACACGCGCGCGCCGCCCGCCCACCCGGTCCGGTCCGGGCTAGGGCGGGGCGGGGCTTGATTGTGAAATGGGTTTAACTTTTTACCCAAAGTTGGAATGGGCCTGTGTGTTTGTAATTTTATTTTGATGCTGGACTTATCAAAATGGGCCTGTTTACTGGGCTGAATTAATGGCCTAGTTGGATTATTTGCTTGCTGGACTGGACGAAATTAAAGGGCTGGGCTGGGCTGGATCAGAATTTAAAGGATTCAGTTTTAATTTTGAACCAAGAGTTGCACCCTTTACAAATTAAAAAACCACCAACAGTTTTTTAATTCTGATTGGTCAACAATGGTTGCACCCATTCGGATTATGGGTGCACCCATTCAGAATAGGCACCAACAAGCCTATAAATACCCATCATTGGGTTCATTTCAATTTACACCAAGTTCAGAAATCTTCTTCTCTTCTTTTGAATGTCTTCTTCTAATTCTTCTTTGTTCGGTTCAGCCACTGGTTTGGGTTCAACCTAAACTGGTTTGGATTGGGTTCGAACCTTGGTTTCCAAGTTTCGGTTCAATCTTGGTTTCCAAGTTTCGGTTCAATCTTGGTATCCGAGTTAGGGTTCAATCCTGGTCTCCGAGTCTAAGTTCAACAGAGAATACTACACCGAGTCGGTTCGCCTATTCCAATGGTTTGAAGTGCTACTACCAAAGGAAGAAAAGTCGTTGTATCCTGAGAGATAGACGCCGAAGAGTCCGTTAGCACCATAGCGGGGCGTATTTGTCTTAAGGCTATAGAATTAAATTCTAACCTCGACTTTATCAGGTTCTTTTATAGTTTTATTTTCTTGATATTAAACTATATAAATATATATATAGATTATTATAATAAATATTATATTTACAAATAATATTTAAATAAATTATACTATAGTATATGATATATAATTTTTCAACAGTAACTGCCACACAAATACCAGGACTCAACACTCTTGGCATCTCAATTGTCCGTATTGACTATGCAATGGGGGGCATCAACCCTCCCCACACACATCCTCGTGCCACCGAGATCTTGACAGTCTTGGAAGGTAGCATTGAAGTTGGGTTTGTCACATCTAACCCCGACAATCAACAATTCACCAGAGTGCTACAAAAGGGTGATGTGTTTGTTTTCCCAGTTGGTCTCATCCACTTCCAGAGAAATGTGGGACATAGTAATGCTGTTGCCATTGCAGCTCTGAGCAGCCAAAACCCAGGTGTTATCACTATTGCAAATGCAGTGTTTGGGTCTAAACCAGATATTTCTAGTGACATCCTCGTCAAGGCTTTCCAGTTGGATAAGAATGTTATCACTTACATGCAGTCCAAATTCTAGACAAGAAGTATTGGAATAAGGAATGAACAGAATCTCCACCCAAATTCTGTGTGTAGTGTGCCTATAGTTTCTTGAGTTCATTTGTTTCAACTTTTCATTCTTTTATATGTGACTATAATTGACTCAATTGTTATATTTTTGTTTGTCAAAATAATTATATTTTTATGCTTTTCTTCTCAGTGTCTTCTAATTAACCCGGATTCCTAGCTAGCTAGCCTTAAATGAAAAAAAAAAATTAATTACTTTGAAATAGCTTAGTTATGAAAGATTATTTTCCCTCGGACAAATTGCATAAAAACCATTGAAGTATTAAATTTTCTTACAAAATCCCCTTCCCTAACAAAAGATTTGACCTAAAACTCTCCTGGACTATTCAATTTTTGCATCATGCCACCTAAGTCAGGACGTTAACGGTTAGAATTGGATTAATGGTGAGTTGAAAGAACCAAACTACTCAATTGAGTAGTCACAAATTTAGCAGCTTGAAATCTAAAATGTTTTGTAATAAAGCCATAAAAGACTTGAGAATTGTACACAGAACAAAGGTAGTAGTAGCATGAGATGTTGTAGATATACAAACAAACAAAAATGAAAAGTAAATTCAACAAACGTCTTTAAATTACTAATTTATGGAGAGAGAGAGAGAAACTTCATTACATCAAGTGGAATTGCACTATGATAATGGAAACATTACATATTGTTAACCTTCTTCTACAACTGCATCAGCTCTGTAAGAATAAGAATTTTCACTTAGCGAGCAATAGCTATCCACGCTATTGTGCTTGACCAATGGTTGCTCTTGTATCCTTATCAAGCGATCCAGTTCTGCTGCTACTTCTTTCATATTTGGCCTTTTCCTTGCATTTAGTTTTATGCATTTTTTAGCAAGAGTAGCAACGACTTGAATCTCATCTTCCCTACCGTCATTCACAACTATTGTCTCTAGAGTTTCAAACAGTCGATTCTGTTTCATTGATGATCGAAAGTTAAGTACAAGACCTTCATCAGATCTATCAGAAGAGACAGCTTTTCTTCCAGTTAGTAGTTCAGCAAGAATGACGCCAAAGGCATAAACATCACTTTTATCAGTTAGTTGTCCTGATCGAAAATACTCAGGATCCAAGTAACCAAATGTACCCCCCACCAATGTTGTTAAGTGAGTCTTGTTAAGGGGTACTGACCTTGAAAGTCCAAAGTCGGACACTACAGCCCTATAATTTTCATCCAATAGTATGTTGCTAGACTTTATATCTCTGTGAAAGATAGTTGTAGAAGCATATGAGTGCAAATAGGCAAGTGCTCCTGCAATTTCCCCTGCAACTCTCAAGCGATTATTCCAAGACATAGAACCATAACCCTCATCATGAAGATGGTCGGAGAGGGTGCCGTTTGAGACATATTCATACACTAACATTGGAACTTCAATCTCTAAACAACAACCTAACAATTTCACAATGTTCCTGTGATTTATGTGAGAGAGGATAATGACTTCATTAATGAATTGACCAACTTGAGTTTCATCAATAATGTTAGATTTCTTAACGGCCACTATACTTCCATCTGTTAACATCCCTTTATAAACTGTACCAAGTCCTCCTTTGCCAAGAAATCGACTTTCATTAAAATTGTCCGTTGCCTTCTCCAACTCTTCTACTATGAAAAGTTTTGTTTTCATCGCACTTCTGTTACTCGAAGAGATCTGTTGTTGCAATAACAAACCTCCGTTCCTCCTAAAGAACTTGCGCTTCATTTTCTGTTTTTGTTTTTTCTCAAGTTTACGGTACAACCATAAGCCAATAACGATCAAGACTAGTACACCAATTGTAGAACCAATGCCTGCATGTGCTAAAAAATTAAGCACAATTTCACGAAGAGGAGAGAAAAAGGGAAAAGGGGAAGGATTTTACCTATAGCAACATGTCCTGCTAACATTTTTTTGGGTATGCATTCAATTCCATCTCCGCGAATGCTGCGGTAACCAGGTTTGCACTTGCACGAGTAGCTACCTACTGTATTGACGCAAATGGCACCCTTTGGGCAAATTTCGATACTCGGATCCTCGCACTCATCAATATCTTTTGAGAAGACAAGAAAAATAAATTGCATATGAGATATAAGTTATTCAAATTTGAATATTAAAGAGTAAATGATATAACAGAAGTGTTTTCAATGATTATTCCGATTCTACTTGTGATATTCATCACTATCAAATATGGCACCTTTAAACTAGGGAGGCAATTTGTGTTCATGAGTCATAATTATATCGTGACGATGTAAGGGTATTATACTAAATAGGTAAAGTCAAATTCAACCCATTTAATAATCATGTGAAGAACCTTCAACACTAACCCAACCCGTTTATTAAACATGTAAACATATTAACCCGTTTAATGACTTGTTTATCAAAACGAGACATTTAATATTTAATCAAATACTAAATAATAGAAAAAAATTGTCATAATTAAACCAAATATTCAAAAAATAAAAAATAAAAAAATCATAAGGCATAGACAAGGTTTATGTTAAAATGACTTAACTATTCATAATAATTGGGTTTAAACAGATAACATATTATATAGGTCATATTCACGATTATAACATGTAGAGTTAAATAAGTCACAAAGGAGTTACACGGGCTGAACCACTCAACCATAATCTGACACGGTTAAGTAAACGGGTTAATCGTGTAGACTCTTTTATAACCCAAATCCGTTTATGTCAAACTTAAACCTTTTTAACTCGTATCGTGTTCGTGTCGTATTATCAAGTCATGTCGAAGTTTGTCACCTCTACTCTAAAGTTTAAAATTGGAGAGTTCTCAAGAACGGTACTTTTATTTATTTTTTGTAAAGTAAAAGTAGAAACTAAGGGGGGTTGAAGACAGAAACACTTAGTTTAGGGGTTGAATGGGTTCTGGATTTATAAGGGGGTATGAGCCCAGTTCATCAGTCATCACAATGGTTTCAAAGTAGGACTAGTTCCTTATCGATGTTGGTCTGTCTAACTAGGTTGTTAAGGAAAAAACATTATGAGATGGTGGTGGCTTGTGGAGAGGGTGGAGCCAGAAATTTTGACCTTGGTGGCCAAGAAATACTGTCTAATTAAATTTAAAATATTTAACAATCATAGTCCTGCCGAATTGTGACATCCAAAGGGGGGAGAGGAGGAGTTGGTGGTGGCCTTCACCGGGAAGAGAGAAGATGGGTGATGGCGACTTCTAATATTAGATGAGGTAAATTTATGAAAGGGTTAATGGTATAATCTCATTCAAATAAGGGCAATCAATATAAATATTTTTCCCGCATGGACAGACATTTATTTGCCAAACCTTAAAAAGGGTCCATCATAATTTTGACAAAGTCAATTAATTCGTGTAGAAGGCGGAAACATCGAGAAAAATATATAATGTTATATTTGAAAGTGTTGAGTTAGTGCTTGGGATTTGAATTTGATGACATGGTTCGTACAAAAATGATAATTATGTATATAAGAGTGTTACCTCTGTGCATAAAAATAGTATTTACATGCACAAAAATGATACGTGAAAATAGTAAGAGTAGTTTGGATAATACATCTTTCATATTCACATTAACATCTTGGTCAAATTTATTTTTTGGAAACATTGTCATTTGAGTCTATAAAATGATAAATAGTACTCTAAATGTTCATGTATATGTGGTTATACCTAAAAATAGATATCCAGCATGTACAAATAATTAGAAGATAAGATCGTTTATCTAGCATTTATGTACTTGCAGTATTGTTGATGCAAGAATTAAGCATATATATACAGGCAACGAGAACAAAGAAATGATATGGTAGGAGACTAGGAGTACCGAATTCAGAATTAATAAAAAAAAAAACTTGAATTAAATTTTCTTTAATTCTAAATCCAAGTGACTTATTCAGTTCTCCCCAAACCTGTCAAAAACAAAACCAAACTGTTTTATACATACCTTGGCATCCATTTTCGAGGTAAGGGTTTCCTTGATAACCTTGAGAGCAGCTACATTCATATCCAATGACATCATCGTTACGTTTTGTACAGTAACTGTTACGGCCACATGAATAGTCTTTTCTTCTGCTAGCTTCACGGCAATCAGAGATGTTGTCCCCAATTGCCCAATCAAGCAACAGTGGGACTGGGACACGAGACAAGAAATCTTCATCCGGAATACTAGAGGTGTTGAATTTGTTGAAATCTGAAAAGTTCTTTTCGGCAATGAAAGCAATGCTGCATGGCTTGGAGGCCAAGAACTGATCGCTGCTATTCATGTTCCGGATGAGCAAATCATAAGACAAGAACTCGTCTGGAAGACCGTTAGTCTGGCAGCAACCAATGCCGGAGCAAGAAGACAGACCAATATTATTTGTCCAAGAAGGATTAATAACCAGGGTCGTGTTATAGCAAAGGGATGTGCACCCAGCTATGTAAGCCGTATTGTTTATATCAGTGATATAAGCAAAGATGTCACATCCGATGGCTACCAACTTATTGTAGTGGTGCGAGACACGGAATGGCTGCCCCAGCTTACTATAATTCAAAGCTTCACCAAAATTGTAACAATTTCGAGCTGAGCACTTCTTGTTGTTGTGACAATTAACAAGAACCATAGCATTCACACGCACATGCTTTCTACCGATATGGAACAGTTCGACATCTCCCAAATAGGGGAGAGTCGCGGGATGTGATGATGACTCATTGCATCTGACTTCAAACCTCTCGTCCCGGTAACATCCTTTCCCTATGCCAAATGGATATGGCACGCTCACGTTCCTGCATTTCTCTTGGCACTGCTTGGACTTCACCATAGATATAGAGGCTGCTGATCTTGTTTCCTTTACTAGTAGTAGGAAAGTCAGTACTACTACTAATGAGTAAATGGTGTTGGATATTAGATAATGTACCTGCAGCTGGACTATTTGCAGAGACGCCATTGATCTTTTGCTGCTCCAACTCCGGCCTATTAATTCATGCACAGATCGATTATATATATATATATAGAGAGAGAGAGAGAGAGAGAGCTTATGGAGAACAAAATAAATGAGGGGTAGCTAGCCCAGCATTGTCTACCTCTATATATATACACACTTGAAGTCATATAAGAACACATCTAAGGGCTAGTTTAGTCGATGTATATTTCTGAAATTATTTGTTGTTACTTCTTCTACACTTGGTGAAAAAATAAAGAAATTTTTTTATAAACTAAACTAAAAATTATATTGAATAAGTATGGTTCAACCACACATTCAATATGAGATTTAGTGAATTTTAAGTCAAAATCAAAATTTATGGAAAAATAATTTTAAAAACAATTTTCGAATTTTGAATAATGAAACTAAATAAAACAAATAAGAATAAGACTAAATAATTTTTGATAAAATAATTGAAAAAAAAAAACTCAAGGAAGGAGAATCATCCATATAAATAAACGTCTCTTATTTTTCTCAATTTTTCTCTTATAAGCAAATCACTTCTTGAATCCAATTACAACATGAGAAGATAACTTTTCAAAAAAAAAAAAAACCTTGAGAAGATCATTTTTAAGTATAAAATAGGAAGTTTTTTGAACTTATCAGTATGTCTCAAAAAATTATTTTCAAAAACTCAAAAAGAAGTAACAGTATTTTGCAAATTATAAAAGATTAGTGATATGAAAATCTGTTTCCTTTTACTGAGTTTTTATAATCGAATTTTATTTTATTTTATTTTTTATTTTTAAAAAACTTTCTATAAATTTGTACATGTACTAGCTAGCTACCCCAATTTCTGGACTTCGGTTATTTTGGTACGTACTTGTGGGAAAGGAATCTCTTTTATTAAAGATAATGAAATTACGTAATAATTGGGTTAGGGGAACGACAAGTCACACACGTAAACAGTTATTTACGAAGTGGATGAAGTGGAAGGGTCTTTATCATTTTGAAACAATCAGTCTAACATATAGAAAATCGTCTCTCTAAAAATTAAAAGCTACGTAAGTTTGGCATTTCAAACTAGAATCAACAAGCAAAAAATCCAATGAATTAAAACAGAAATGGGGTGATTCGACTTTTCAATTGATGTTTTACATTCGGCTGAGTCAATAATTATTACTCTCTCTGTTCTAAAATATTTGTACGTGAATATAAAATTTGTAACTGACAAATTTCGTTAACAAAGTAAGTTCGATCGAATTGTAATTTTCAATTCAAATTTCAAGTTCAAGATCAAAAACAGAATTGAAGAGTTGTTGGTGATCGATAACTTGATAACTTCGAAAAATGTAAGAACAATATTTAAAAAAAGTTTAGTTAGAAGGTAAGAATAATTGCATGAACGAACTAGGTATCCAATTTCTGGACTTGTAAAGGAATCTCCGCTATTAGAGATAATGAAATTCTGAAATAATTAGGTTGGAAACCACGAGTTACACATTCTTTACATATTGGGTGAAGTAGAAGGGTCCTTATCATTTTTGAATTGCACTTTTGGATTGAGATCAATCATTTAACATTAGGGATGATGTTTCGTGTCTAACAAACAGTATTATACTAAACAGCTTAATTTGAATACGATCTGTTTAATAATTGTGTCATAAACGGTCAGCACTAATCTGACCTCCTTATTAAACGAATTACACGTGTAACCCGTTAAATGACCTATTTAAACATATATATATATATAATTTAAATTATTAATAATACTCAATAAAATAATAAATAGTAAAATATATATATATATAAATTTTAATCAACTAAATTACTAAATAATTTCTAGTTTAAAAAGGTTAAATTATAAGACACAAGTTTATATAGTAATTTTAGAATTTAAATAGAAATTTATTTATGATATAAATAAACGTCTTCTGTTTTTTCTTAATTTTCTTCTTATAAGCAAATCACTTCATCAATCCAATTACAATTTGAGAAGATCATTTTTAAGTATAAAATAAAAAGTTTTGTACACTTATCAGTCTGTCTCAAAAAAACATTTTCAAAATCTCAAAAAGAAGTAACATATTTTGAAAATTATAAAAGATTTATATGAAAATCGGTTTCTTTTTAACTGAGTTTTGATAATAGAATTTTATTTATTTTATTTATTGATTTTTTTTATAAAAAAAACTTTCTATAAATTTGTACATGTACTAGCTAGCTACCCCAATTTCTGGACTTCGGTTAATTTGTTACGTACATGTGGGAAAGGAATCTCCTTTATTAAAGATAATGAAATTACGTAATAATTGAATTGGGTTACGACAAGTCACACATGTAAACAGTTGTTTACATATCGGATGAAGTAGAAGGGTCTTCATCATTTTTGAATTGCACTTTTGGACCGAGATCAATCATTCAACAATCAACATATAGAAAATCGTCACTCTAAAAATTAAAAGCTACGCTAGTTTGCCATATCAAACTAAAATCAACATCTAAATAATCCAATGAATTAAAACATAAATTGAGTGATTCCACTTTTCATGTTGGAGAAAATTTAAAATTTTCTTCAAATATGTACAAAGTTGGCCCTAAAATTGTCATTTAGTAGTCGACATGGTTGGTTGGTGGGTAGATTGTTGTTTTACATAGGGAAAGCCAATAATTAGTATTCCCTTCATTTCATATTAGATGTTTATTATGGGAAGTAAAACTTTTTAAGAGGTTATGTAATTATTATATTGTCCTCTCAAAAATTACAAAGTTACATTTTTAAGTTTAAATATATATATATATAATCAAGTGTGAAATTTTTAAAATTTTTAAGAGTTTTTTATGAAAATATGTGAAATTTATTATTTAAATTTGATCAGTGAGCAAATATTTTGACACAATCTTATAAAAAAAACAATATAAACAACTATTATAAAATGCAGGGGATATATATAACTAGATATTTTGGAGCAGGTGGGTGACGGAAAGAACGGATAGAATTTGCATAAAGGAAGATAACACTCGTTACAATTGGCTACAGTAACACCCGCCACTCAAGGTGGACCCTACTTGATGGCTATTAGTACTGATATGTAGTCGCAACAAATAGCCATTTTGGCTACATAACCATCCTCAAGAAATAGCAATGTTGTTAAAGAAATATTCGATTTGGCTAACATATACTTTCACAGTGAAAAAAAAGTATACATATATATATATATATATATATATACTTACTTTCCCCATTTCAGTTGTACGAAGTACATGCAAGTACTCGTAGATATGCTCGAGAAAACCTTTCTCACATTTTGAGTACCATATGATTATATAATTATTTTAGTTGGTCAGGGTTTAATTAGTAGTTTTTTTTAGTACCATATGATTAGATAATTATTTTACTTGGTTAGTGTTTAATTAGTATTTATTTTTTATTTTTTATTTTTTGTGTTAGAATTTTTCTCCACGTGCTTAACCCCATGCCATGTGGTGGGACTCGCGCTTATATTTCCACTTGCCTTTTTTTCTTGTCATGATTAAACTTGGTGGGAGATGCTTCTTTATTAAAGGAGAGTGGTGGAAACATCAATGACATACTTTAATTTGGACACGCAAAAGATGCATCTATCCATCTTTGTAATTTTGTTTTCATGTATAAAGAAGGAAAAGGACGATGCTACTGCAATCAAACTATACTTCATAAAATCGGTTAAGATTGTGATGTAATAAACTCGAACAAAATTAGTATAAACTGTTCGATATAAATTGCGTATTAAATAAACGGTTCTATACAAATTACGTATTAAACTTAAAAAAGTGTCGCACATCAACCAATAAAGCGAACCATGAATCAAACAACTAACATTTCCATGCAAGTTTGAACCTTAAATTTGATTGTGTTAAATAAATAATAAATGAGCATAAACAAATTTTAAATTATAGTACTGTCTAATGCTAATATTTTAAGTTGGTGACTAGAATTGTCTTACTGACTTCGAATATTGTTGTACCATGTAGATAATACCAGGCCAAGTATGGATTTTTTCCAATACTTTGTGGTCTCCAACTTGTGCGGGATTTGAGTTGTTTTTTCACTAGTCGGGCGCCTTGTGGATGGAGCTTTGCAACAGTTGCTTTGTTGATGGCCTGACCTTTGTCACTCCCGTTGGTGCTCGTCTCATGTGGTAATTTCATTTATTCTTCTCAGCAAATCTGGAGCCTGATCTTCATTTTTCTTCTTTGTGCTTCAGGTTTTGTTTGCCTTTTTAAGACTTTCCGTTATTGCATTTGTACCGTCCGTTATAAATGTGTTATGTAAATGTCGTATGGCTGTTCTCTTATTACCAAAAAAAAAAAAAAAAAAAAAACTCTAGCTCGCCTTCCTCTACGGGCTTTCCAATTAGCAGAAAAAGAAAGGAATCCTCTTTAATAAAGGCTGCTACGGGCTTTCCAATTAGCAAAAATAATGGAATCCTCTTTATTAAAGACATGGGTGGGGTAAAGGTAAACAACATTTTCAACTTTTAGTTGTAAGATAAACCTTCGTTTTTTGAGACCCCTTAATTACTAGTACACTGATGTAATTTTCATTGAGAAGTCCGGTACCCCGTAATCTCCTAATCGTTTAATCATCCATTGAGTGAGTTCTAAGAGCATCTTCAATGCTAAAAGTTATTTTCAACTGTCAAATCTATATTTTGACAGATGTTATAGTGTCAAAATACTACATTTTAGCATTTTTGTTCCAATGGTGCATTTTATGCAAAATGTTATTTTTTAACACAACCACCATTCTTTTTTAATTACCATTCCCACCATTCATATTTGCATCAGTAATATTAATATTAGGCACATTCCAAATCAAATTGTAGACATTATAAGGAAACTAAAATTAAATCTAATTAAAAATAAACAAAAATCTAAAATATCTGGTCAAAAAAGGACCTATATATATATATATATATATATAAATTTATATATTTGATTATATTGTTATATAAATTTTTTTATATAATTTTTTTTTTCTTTTTCGAAAATTCATATATATTATATATATATGTGTGTATATTATATATATTTGAGTATATTATTATTAAAAATATATATATTTTTAGGGCAAATCATTTCAGCCTCCCCAATCGCCTCCAACTCTATTCTCATTCTCAACTCTGACCCCCCCCCCCTCCCACCCCCCCTTTATCTCT